CCCACCATGCCCCCTGAGGTCAGCGGACCAGTTGCTCCTCACAGTTCCAGGAACTTGTCTTAAGCGCAGAGGTGACAGGGCCTTCTCTGTAGCAGGACCAAGACTCTGGAACAAGTTACCTTTGTTTGTTAGACAGGCCCCCTCCTTCTCCGTTTTCAAGTCCTGTTTAAAAACTCACTACTATTCAGTAGCTTTCAACACAAGATGATCTGTGTCTTGATCCTGTATGCTCCACACTGGTTTGCCGTCATTATCTGCATCGTTTTTATGTCTATATTCTGATTTACCTCATTTTGTATTTTGCTTTGTGTGTTACCTGTTGTTCTGTCTGTACAGCACTTTGGTTGGCCTTGTAGCTGTTTTAATTGCTTTATAAAAAAAAGTGGTATGGTATGGTAAACAGCCATCAGTGTGCTAATGATCCATCGTTAGGCTGATGGTTCTTCTTGACCATGTGAACAGCTGGTTTTGGTTGTCAGCAGCAAACTGGTTGATCCACTCTGAGAATGTGCTATTTAGAAGACTGAGCTGAATACAGCACCTCAGACTGAACAAGTCTTTCGGATGAAAGACGAAACATTTCTACATTTTTTGTTGTTTTGCTTTGTTTTGTTCTTTTTGAATGTCCAGAGGACCAGATTTAACTTTTTTAGACATGCAGGTATAGTTTCATTTCACCAAAGAGGAAGTGATGTATTGTGCACAGTAGTGTACAGTGCACTTTGAAAAAAATAATGAGGTTTAAACTACAAAGTAAAACCAGAAACCTCAAGAAAGCATGAACTTGGTGTAACTTCATTGTTTTTGTTGTGAACCAGCTGGCTGAAGTGTGAATCTCCTCTTTTAGCCCCATCGATTGATCGGTAGCACTCGTTTCGGGCAAACATGGGTTCGCTTTCAAACGTGTTACTGTATGAGTGACCCAAAGCAAGGAGGGGAAAATAAAATAAAAAATCCTCTCTTCTTCTACGACGTATTTGGGTCATAGAAGCAGCAGGTCCAGGAGAAACCCAGACATTCTGCTCCCCAGTGACACACCCTGCTCCTACTAGGAGACCTGAAGGCATTGCCAGGCCAGAGAAGACACACAATCCCTCCATCAAGTTCTGGGTAAATGGTCTGTACTTATAAAGCACCTTTCTATCTGATCAAGATACTCAAAGCGCTTTACACTACAATCTGTGTCCTCATTTACCCATTCATACAGAACTCTACTAGATCTCTACAAAGCTAATTGAACAAATCATTCTAAAGAGACTAATCAGAGCTTTATCACATTCATACACTGATGGGACACACATCAGAGGCTATGAGGGGTTCAGTGTCTTACCCAAGGACACTTCGGCATGTGACTGCTGGTGGATTTGAACCCCCAACTCTCTCATTGGAGGACGACTGCTCTAACCACTCAGCCACAACCGCCCACTGTGGGTCTTTCCCCGTGGGACGTGCCCAGAAAACCTCCAAAGGGAAGTGTGCAGGGGGCACCTTAATCTGATGCATGAACCACCTCAACGACCCCTTTGATATGAAAGAGCTGAAATGTAAGGACTAAATTTAAAATGCTGACAGAACTAGAACTGCATGTCACCCTGAACATGTAACGTGGTGGCATCACGTTGTGGTCCCCACAAAAGCAGAACAGAGCTGATGAGATGGATGGAGTTGAACACAGAACAATCCTGGAAGGAAACTGGTTAGAGGATGCAGAAGACTTTAGACCGAGGTTCACCATCCAGCAGGACGAGCCAACATATCCAGCCAGATCCACAGTGGAATGGGTCAGACCCTGTGTGTTAGAATGGCCCAGTCCAAATCCAGACCTGGCAACACTTGAACATTGCTGCTGTAGTGAACTTAACCTGATGTCAAGACTAAGCCTAAGGTCAAAAC